GCGCGTCGTATAATTACAATTAGCATTATGAAGTGAATCGTTTAGTTACTCACGGATGTTTTAAGCAGGAACGACGAGCCTCGAGGGAGCACGCAAGCCGCGATCATAATCAGCGACAGACTGCGGTTCCTGCGGCTGTGGCTGAGACAACCGAAAGTGACAGTTCACAAGATCAGAGATAAAAGATATGTGAAGAGATTCAAGAGCCTCACTGAAAATTTTCCATTTTTGGTTTTAAAAAAAAAATTAAAATTGATTTTTATTTATAATGTGTGACATAAATATTATCTTTATTCTTTTTCGTTTTATTAGGTTTACTCATGTTTAATCAACATTTCTCTCTGTGTATATATTTTTTGGTCAAAACATCGCCAACTTATCTATGTATAAACACTTAGAAAAAGAGACATGAATATCATGTCAGCACCTAATATGATAATGTGTGGAGTGTGGACCGACCAAGCTGTTATTTTCAACATAAGATGATCAGATTGACACATATCGATCTACCGATCAACGCCTTGGTCTCTTTCAATTGTGTGAGACAAAATGGACCCATATGTGTGTGTATAGCTGTTTCAAAATCATTGCGTAAACAATGAAATATTATCTATCTTCTTATCCTTTTCATGAGAGGTCGCAGTTGCTCAAGTGATCCAAAACCGAATTCTTGATATGCTGTTTATGACTTAGCTCTTGTTCTGTTTCGTTCAAACTTTTTAATTTTCTCCAAGAGAGAAAGAAATTTAGAGTGAAAGCACCGGTTTTAAGATTATAATGTGATAATACAGTTTCTTGGTGAGACTATGTATTATGTTTTATGACTAGCGATCGAATTAAATTTTATGTTCACATGCGTTTTCAGAATTATGCAATTTTAGCAATCGATTTTTATTTCTTTTAAACAACTCAGTTCAACACTTTAGTTTTACTAATTAGACAATTTAAAACTATGATAATTAATGGAAGAGAGAACAAATTAATAAAAAAAATTTAGTACTAAATTTAAATCATGCTTTTAGACAAATCAGATATTTATGTTACATTTCAACGGTTTAAAAAGTAAACTCGACGAGTTTAAAAAGTAAACCGTACTCGACGAGAAAATACTGTTGTCAAATTAATGTAAACTAAAAACCAGATGAATAAAATAACTAATATCAAAATAAGTTGAAATTCATGAGATGAAATAAAGAAGTTTGTTAGGGTCGGATTTCACCCGCTCAACGTTGAAATCCAAAGCTATGCAAGCGCAGCGCATAGACACAGAATCGCATTAACATACATATATTATGATTCTCCCAAGTTATTTCCTAACAAGAAGATGAGGTTTTTCTCCTTTCCTAAGCATTTTCCGACTAAAAAGGGAGCCTTCTGAGTCCTCTCTACTCGCAGCAAAGTCACAGTGCCAGCGAAGTGCATTGCCAGCGATTGGCCAGCGAAAACCTGCCAGAGTAATGACAAAGGCCAGAAGGTTCCCTGCGCTAAAGCCCGGTCCAATTGCGAAACCTAATTTGACACAACCGACGTAAAGAAAAGGAAAATCCGCAAAGATTTAGGAAAGTTAACATTGTTTTTAGGAGACATGTCTAGCCGACTTAGGGAGCTATATATATCTATGTATAAACCCTTGTAAAGGGTATCCGCAACTTTATTCACAAAAGCAGATACAGCAATAACAAACGTTTTTCTTTACTCATCGTTTCTTGCGTAGCTTAACCTAGAAATCTCTGTTTCCTCACGAAACCCTTACAAATCTAATTGTGCTAGTTTCGACACCCACAAAGTTGAAATTCATGGAAAAAAAAAACAGAAATTTGAGTGCTAAACTTACAT